CCGCCGGCGGCGCCGGCGGGGCAGCGTGGGGAGGCTGGGGGCAGCGGGGGCAAGGGTGTTGGGCTATTGGCAGAGAAGAGCACCCTGGGGGGCGCCCTGGACATCATCTCTCTGGCACAGGTGCGTGTTTATTAGAGTGCGTGTGTGTGTGTGTGTTTGCGTGCGTCTGTGGCGTGCGTGCGTGCATGTGTGTGTGAGCGGGGGTATGTGTGCGTGTGGGCTTGAGTGGGTGCATGCATGTGCATGCGGTTGCGTGCACGTGCGCATTTGCACGCGCTTTCGTGTGGGCTTTGTACATGCGCTGATGCGGCCGTGCTAGACCAACCATACGCCCCCTGCGCACCCTGAGCATGACACTCCCGGCTCCGCCCTCGACTCTGCGGCCCCGGCCCCAAATCCAGGTCATCCCCGCAGAGGAGCTCACCCTCATCCAGCCCATCGGGCAGGGCGCCGAGGGTCGCGTGTTCCTGGGGCGCTGGAACCACATCGAGGTGGCGGCCAAGGAGTTTTTCACGGGCAAGGAGAGCCGCCACAGCATGGTGGACAACGAGGAGGGGGAGATGCGCGCCCACGTGAGGGGCCCCTGTGGGGGGGAGGGGGTGCGGACGTGAGGCTTACAGGGGAGGGGGGCGTCTGCGTGGGCGCTGCTGGTGGTGCACATTGGGACCATGCCTGGGGGTGGTTGATTGGGGCTGCTGCAGTGCGTGAGGATGCTGGAATGCGTGCGTGTGAGTGTGTGCGCGTGTGTGGGTTTGTGGAGGGGGGCCTTGTGAGCGGTGGCAAATTGGCTGCGTGGATTTGGCGCACATATGCGGACTGAAAGGGTCATGGGCCAGGGTCGAGGGTGATTTGTATTCGCATCGCTGCTCACTGGGCCGCCCTAGCGCGCCCCGCCCTCCCCCCCCCCCTGCAGGAGTCCCTGCTGCGGGAGGTCAAGACACTCACCACCCTCACCATGCACCCCAACGTGGTCCGATTCTGGTGAGCTTGAAAGTCATGATTTTCCAAGCATCAACTGCGAGCAGCAGGAACCTGCGGGGCCTCACTCGAGGGCCTGGCATCCGCAGCCCTTGCCACGTCCCGCATGACGCCCGGCACGCGCCCCTCCGGTGTGCTGCCGGCCACGCCTGCCTGCTCCGCCATTGCGGCTGCCACCATTAAGACGAGTCTGGCAATGATCTCGCGTCACCACCTCCCCTCGGCCCCGCATGTTGTACCAACCCCGCTGCGCGTGCCAACACCCTCACCTCCGCTCCGGCCTGCGCCCGCCCGCCCCACCGCAGCGGCGTGTGCCTGCGGCCGCCCCTGGTGGTCACGGAGTACTACAGCAACGGGTCCCTCTACATGCTGCTGCAGAAGGCCCGAAAGCAGCTGGAATCGAAGAACTCCAACCAGAAGGTGCGGCACCGCGCCTCGCGCTTTTGCGAGCGCAAGTGTGTGTTTGTGTGTGTGCGTGCCTGTGTGTCTGTGTGTGTAGGGGGGGTGGTGGGCTTGAGTGTATGCGTGGTGGTAGGGGTGAGGATGTGTGAGGCGTGCGAGGCGGGCCAGCCGATGCCATCATACACAAGCTTCGCTATCAGCATGCTGCGTTGCATTGTGTCCCGGCTGCAGCAGCAGATCACAGGCCGCCTGTCGCAGCTCGCCTCACCGCACCGCGGCCATCCATGCGGCTGTGTGATGCAGCAGATGGGCAGGCGGCGTCCAGCCTATTGGCTGG